TCAATTTAGGAATGTTTTTTTAACATCCATTTTATGAACTATAAGGTTATTCAAAGAAGCTAATGCAAACAATGCTCTAAATGTCACCATCCTTGATACTGGTGCGTATGTCTCAAAATAATCAACACCTTCCTTTTGTCTAAAATCATTTGCTAATAATATAGCCTTGTAGATGTTTAATCTAATATCACTATGATACTTCTTTCTAAGCACCTACTTGCATCCAATGGGCCTTGACCCCTTAGGTAGATCGACAAAATCCTAAGCATGGTTTGATATAATTGAATCCATTTCATCTTAGATAACATCCTTCCATAAAGAAGAGTCCCTTGAAGATACCAATTATTTATAGGTCGTATGATCATCTTTCACTTGAAGAATAATAGGAATCTTTTGAACAAAATTCTCACTATTTCCTTCAACTATATCAAAGGAAATATGTTGAGAATCGATTTTGTCTAGAAAGCCTTCTTTACCAGGTTATTCATTTGTGGAAAACTATGATTCCTTATCCTTCGTAATAAGGTTCTTAACAAATTCTATGTTTCAGGATTCAATAATTATAGTAGACTTAAAACTCAAAAGTCTATATGTTTTACTGTTAGGTGCATATCCTATAAAACACATTTTATCCCTCGAGGACCTAACTCTGTCCTTTTAGGATCCATATTCTTATACTAAGCAACACTCCCCCACACTATAAAGTAATTGATATTTAGCGCTCTGGGTTTTCATACCTCATTTTGTGAAATATTAGTTTTTTTCAAAGAAATTATATTCATAATATGACAAATTGATAATAAGGCTTCACCCCACAAATTAAATGGAAATTCGGAATGTATTAACATGGTATTTATCATTTCTAGATATGTCAAATTATTTATCTAGACTAGATCATTTTGTTGTGGTGTATGAGATACAAAACATTCATGCATGATGTCTTCTTCTTCACAATATGTATCAAATCCAACATAAAAGTATTCTTCATCCCTATCACTTATAAGGACTTTGATACTTCTGCTCAATTGATTTTTCACTTCCGTTTTATAAATTTTAAGTGCATTAAAAGCATCATTTTTGTGCTTTAAAATATATACATGTGTGAATCTAGAGAAATCATCAATAAAGGTAATGAAATATTATTTCACCAATGGGTTAACATGTCATTGAATTTACACAAATATGAATGCAAAAGATCAAGTGAATTAGAATTTCTTTCTACACTATGAAAAGGTTTATTAATCATCTTTTATTTAACACATATTTCACATTTTTTAAAATTGTTAATATCACATGAAATTAAACCAAATTTGAGTAATCTTGTTATTGTGTTGATACCAATATGTGCTAATATGTTATGCCATAAAGAAAGGGATTCAATCATATAATTAGAAACTTTTTTGATAATATTATTGGTGGTACATAGCTTAATCATTCCCTCAATGGAATAACCCTTTCCTACAAATACACCATTATGAGCCAAGATTAACTTACTCGATTCATACAGAGATTTAATACCCAGTTTTCTCAAAAGATCTTAACTAACAATGTTCCTATACATGTCGGGAACATGAAGTATATTGGCAAGAGTAACTTTATTTTCAGAAGTGAAGCTGAGTTCCCTAGTTCTCATTCCAATGACCCATGATCATCCTTCATTTCCTATATGAACTACTTGTTCGTCAACGACTTTAGAATAGTTTTTGAATGTCGTTGTCATAAGAAACATGGACAGTAGCACAATTATCATACCAATATCCTTGTACCTTTCCTTTGATCTCCATAATTTCTATGACAATAGCAATTAAGTTATCATCTATTTGAACAACATTTTCTTTGTTTTAGGTTTTGTTATGCCTCCAATCTCGATTATAATGATCGGTTTTGCCACACTAAGAGCCGCCTTTGGGTTCTTTTGATGTACCATAATTCTTAAACTTATTTTGTTCCTTCTTATGTCCAATATTTTTCTTCATGCCATCATGTTTCTTCTTTCCTTTTGCATTCACGACATTGGTCTTAGAATATCCAGCAGACTTGGATTTCTCTATCTTTCAATTCCTCCTCGATTTTAAGATGTTTCTAAATTTTCTCCAATGAAAACTCCTCGAAACTATGCAACAATTTCTTACTATATCATTTACATAAAGATGACAAATTTTCAATAAGTGTACCAGCTTGGAAAGCTTCGAGAATGTCTATTTCTACAACCTTTAGCTTGTTTATAAGAACATGTAAATCGTGTATTTATGCAAGAATGGGATTTGAATCAAACATTTTTAAATCAAAATATTTTAGAAATGAAATTTTTTTAGTACCTTCCTCTTTAGCCATAAATTTGAAATTGAGTGCTTTCAGAATTTCTTTTGCAGATTGGGTGTTTGTGTAAAGATCATAGAGACAATCGAATATCGTGCTCAAAATATCTCCATGACATAAGAATTCATCTTTCTTTCATTTCTTGTGTTCCTTAAGTTCCTTAAAATCATTCTCTTATGATTCTGGAATTGGTGTTATATCAAGATTCAGTACATAGTGAATCTTCAAGGCAGACAGAAGGAAGATCATCTTGTCTTGCTTGTGGGTGAAGTTTGTCCCATCGAAATGATCAAACTTGACAAGGTCCTGGTTCATGGCTTTGATGTTTGAAACTGAAGCCTCAGTAGGTATTATTTGAGATACTATTAGAGTGTTAAATAATATTTCTAATTTTAATGGATCTAGGCTTGAATCGTGAATGGAATCACTTTCCTAATAGTATTAACACTCTCAGATTGTCTTAGAGTCAATGCGCAGGAATACCCAAGATAATTCAGCCTATATTCGAGTTTGTATAAGACCGATGAAAACTTAAATGCGGGGAAGATGAATCTAGAATATGTAGTGAAGATGATGTACTTTTTATGTGATTTTTTTAATCTGAGATAATCAATTTATAGGCCAAGTATTTTTATTTCACAAGGTTGCGATCCTTGATGAAGTACACTCTTTTCAACAAATTTTTCACTAAGTGTTGCAACCTTTTTCCTACTGTAACACTTTACAAAGTGTTAACAATTTCACATTACTTAGTACAACACTTCATGAAGTGTTACCTATTTTTGAATTCAAAAAACAAACTTAAGCAACAACTATTAAAAATAAATCAGCTATCATAGTGTCACTGGTATCGCGAGTAACCTAATTGCTCTGATATGTTGTGCCAAAGTGTCCAAGTTCCGCTTACAAGCCACTAGTAGAGCTACTACGCCCACACCCTCAATCCCAATCTAGAAACCGGGGCTGGTGGAGACACCGATAAGGAGAGTGTAGAGGCGACAAATGCATAAGACTTCAGACCATCACATTTATTCATATGACAATTTATCCTCTTTTAACTCCCTTGTTGAGTTAAAGAATATATTCCATTTGTCCTAAAATAAGAACCACTTTAACAAAAGAATTTTGTCTCAAAATAAGTGTTGTTTTATCTATTCAATGCAACATTAATTAATTTATGGCTTAAACAATTTTTTTGGTCCTTGTAAGTTGATGTGTTTTTTATTTTCATCCATGTATCTTATTTTTTTAAAAATAATTTCTGAATGCTAAAATTCTTTTGGTTTTAATCCCTAAAGTTAAAACCCACAAGAAAATCCGAAGAAAAATCTACAAGAAACTTGTGGATATTCATGCGAATTTTAACTTTAAAAATTAAAATCAAATAAAATTCAACATTTAAGAATGTTATAAAAAGAAAAAATACAAACAAAAACAGGCAAACTTAACAAGATAAAAAAAACAGTTTAAATCTTAATTTATTCAAACTTTACATTTGGTTAACGTTTTCCCACACTACTTTAAAGTCATTAAATCTCAATATTGTTTATGATAATTTATAATAGCTAGTAAATAATAAATAAGGGTACTCTTGTAAGAAAAATATTTTTAATAGTTATTTTTTTTATCTATCTGAAATAATCTTAAACAACTTTTATTTTGAAAAAGAGATATTAAGTCTTTATAAGGGTTATTAAACTAATTGAAACTTTTTATACGGGACTATTACTCATATATTGATTCTTCATTTATTTGCTTACATGGTATTTTTTATTTTATTTTAAAAAACACTCATAATAATTAAATTATAGTTATTAATTACAATAATTTTAATATTGTCAAATCGTGTGTTTATCTAATGTGATAGAAAAGTATGCTATAATTTTAAGGGTGTGTTTGGATAAAAAATTTTAAAAAAATAATGTTTTGATGAATTTAAAATGATTTAGAAAATTTTATTGTTTGGATAAAAATAGAAAGAATTATTAAAATAATGAAAATTTATAAATTATTTTATTTAAATTTAATTTAATAATTCTGAAATAACACTTATTATAAAATAATTTAAAATTCTGCTGATTCTATAAATTGTGAATGTCAAAGTGGGTATTACTAATATTTCAAATTTTGCATGTTAATTTTCATATATTCCAAATTTTATAAATTGGCTCTTAAAATTTTTTCAAAAACTATAATGTCATTAATAATTTTTAAACTTTACAAATTAATCTTTTTAAAATTTTAAAAATTACAACTTAATCCGTATTTTACATATTTTTAATTTGACTAAAAATTTTTAAATTTTATAAAAATATTCTAAAAATTTAATAATGAATAATTTTAATATTTTATTGAAACAAAAAAATTTAAATGGATAAATCTCAATTAAATTATTTAAAATTAAGTTAAACATTTATAGGTTTAATTATTTAAAATTTATAAAACGGTCTCTAAACTAAAAGAAGTTTTAAATGATAGGGCAGCAGAACTTTTAGCAAGGATAACAAAATAAGTCACATTAAGAAAAACTGATCCAAAAAATAGAAATTTCCTACCAAACTTCTCCAATTCTTATCTCTTACGTTTCATAATTGTATTCTCTATGTGTCATATATAAACACACATAGGTTATATCTCTTTGAGTATAGAAAAAGATTGAGATTTTTTCTTTGAGTAAGAGAATGAAGAGCATGAAGATCAACAACAACAAATATGAAAGCTTTGGACAAAAGGGTAACCTAATTCATAGCCAAGTTATGAAGATCAAGCAAGAATCAGAGAAAATCTATGATTGGTCATTTGATCAACCTGAAATAAGACCTGTTCTTAGTGAGATTTCCCGGCAAATTTCTCGGTCGCCGTTGGGAATTTCCGGCCAACCGATTACAGTTGGTGATTTGTAGCGTAAGAAAATCATGTTAAGGCTTTTGGTTAGTGTTGTGATTATGTATAGAGATTGTGAGATTGTTGAGGGAGGATTTGTATGCTTCCCCTGTTTCTTTTTCTCTGTTTCCCTCTGTTTTCTATTAGAGATATTTTAGATATTCAGTTATTTCTCTCTTTTTTTTTTTTTTTTTTATATAAATAGCATTTTGCTTTAGCTAAAATAGTTTTTCACTTTTTAAGAATAGAGGCTAAGACAATTTATATATAACGTACATATATTTTAATATTTTAATTTGAAGTGACGACTTTTTTTAATAAATAAAATTTTGAAGGTTTTGATGCTTCACAATTCTAATTTAAAGATTATGATTGTGAGGATCAACTTATTTAAGAGTAAGTTTTTTTTAACTTACTCTTCATTATAGTTTTTAATTTGAATTGAATTTAATTGTTAAATTAGCATTTTTATTTATAACTATTCGATTAAATCTAATTTAAAGATTAAGATTGTGAAATAAGTTATAAAAATTTACTCTTCAAATAAATAAACTCAGTAAAAAAAACTTCTAAGTATTAGGACAATTTTCAACATCTTAGTTTCCATTATATAATTATAATAATATATTAAAGTAGTTTCCATTATATAATAATATATTAAAGTAAAATTTAAAAGCCTAGAATTATAAGAGTTATCAATCTTTCTATAAATTTAAAATTTTCATATTTTATATGGGAGTTATATTTAAAATTCTTAAAACTTCAATTGTTGAGAATTCTTGCAAGTATAAATATTATAAAAAATTAATGTCAAATTTTTGTCTCAAAATATTATATTTTTTACTTTTTTTAACTTAAAATATTTATAAATTAGAATTTTAATATAATATATTTTTTATTAACCCCATTTTATTAAATTTTGCTTTATATGTGGTAATTATAATTAATAAAAATAGTTGATAAATAATATTAATTTTACCGTTAAATAAAATTATTTTATAAAAAATTACACAAAACTTAAACGTAATACTTAAATTTAAACAAAAAAACATTTATAAAAATTGCTCCCATTATTAAAAAACTAGCGTCCAAACGGGCACCGTGCCCGTTTGTCCGCTTTTTTATTGCGCTAACGCGTAAAAATATTAACAACGTATTTTTTTATGTATGACAAACTCCTCTCTTATATCTCAATTTACCCAAAATAATGTAATTTAGTAGTCACAATATATTAATGTTGTTTTACTCTCTTTTATATGACATTTTCGTTCTTCTTCCACCTCCCTCCGTTGTGTTTCTTCTTCTTCTTCTTCCTTAAACGCTCTGTACCTTCTTCTTCCGCCGTCCCTCCGTCGTTTCTTTCCACCGTTTGTCCGCTTTTTTTAATTGACACACATATTAAAATATAAACAGATATTTTTTAATCTAATATTGTTTTTAATATAAATTATTTTTAATATAAACTTTGTGATATATTTCTTTCATGTGTATTTATATGTTTTTTTAAAAGCGTACGCGCAACAAATTCTAAAATATTTTATTTTCTTAGTTTTTGTTTTAAATTAAATAAATTGGCAACTTAAATCTTAAATTAGTAAGTATGACCTCTCTCAACAAAAAAAAATTAGTATATAAGAATTATTAAAAACCATGTAGAATAACTAATCTACATAACACAAAATAAAATTAAAATAAATCACGAATATTTTATTTGATGAGAATGTAAGTGGCTGAGTAAAACTACAATTTTTTATTTTATAAATAACTATTATTGTCTCAATTGACAATTATTATGTTTGAGAAAGTTATATGAAAAAAATAAAATTTCATTGATTAAAAAACAAACAACCAAGAGATTGATTGAGAACATAATTAAACATAAAATTTAACTAATTAATTTAAATTAGGAAAAATGTGAGATATATAAAAATTAAGTAAAAGAATTTAAATTTTTTTTTGGAATTTGTATTTTTGTTTCAATTTAAGTAAAAGGCTTGAGAGGATATTTAAAAAAGAAGATAATTAAAATAATAAGTGGTTCAAGTTTTAAGAGTATTTATTACAAAAATAACTGCCCTATTTTCATACTTTTCTCAATGTATTTGTTTATAATTGGAGAAATAATATTAAGAAGCATAAACTTTTTCCAAAGATTTTTTTATTGATTTTAAGTAATACAATTAAAAAAAAAATTGTAAGCAAGATGATTATAGTTGGTTATCATTTCGTTGTAACTGTCAGGAAAATTATCACATGCAATTATACATTGTGTAATGAGGCAACAATTATATGGTGTGTAGAAGAATAAGTTAGAAAAATAAATAAGCGAGTGACATAAATAAAGATCATATAAAAGAGAGTAAAACAACATTAATATTCAAAATAAGTTTGAAAATTCAAGAAAATTTTTATAAACACAATATATTCTCATAATCACAATTTTAAAAAACAGTAAAATCATTTCCAAAATAATTTTGATGATTACAATAACATGATACTATATTCTACCCATTCAACACGACAGTTAGTGAAATGAAAATTATAGTTTAATACGTACACATTCACTGTTGTTCAAAATAAATGAGTATACCAGAGAAAATTTGCAAATATTAAAACATAAATGACGACTGACAGTTTCATAATTCAAAATAAATGAGTATACCAGATAAAATCTGCAAATATTAAAACATAATTGATAGTCACACACGTATAAACACAACTCAAAGATTCAATAGTGAAAAGAGAGACAACTTACAATCTAAAGATTCAAAATTGGTGTGAAAGAGAAATTTGTAGTAACTACCAAAGAGAGAAATGATTTGCAAGTGAAAGAGAGAATTTGGCAAAAATTTAACGATAATTAAGTAAGAAAAATAGAAAACATAGAAGTTTTAAATTGAGAAATGAGCAGTTATTATGTAGAAGTTTTAAATTGAGAAATGAGTGGTTATTATTTAATTGGTGTATTTGATAGTTTTAAAATAACGGTTAAAGGGCATAATAGATAAACATAAAAGCTACACCAAACCATTGTTATTCTCTTTATATTGTTATAGATTATGGTTCCAGTCGCTAACATAATGTATAGTATTATATTAATTAGGGTGTTTATGGGTGCGGGTGAATGTATAGTATTATATTAATTAGGGTGTTTATGGGTGCGGGTGAATCCGCGAATCCACTTACTCAATCTGAATCATGTCATAAATTAGTTGGATCCATTCATTTACGGGTATACCCAACCCTAACAATTCATATAATTTTGGTTTGGGTATCAAGTTTGATTTTTACAATTCGCGGATCCATTGATCCAACTCATTGACGTGACATTAGTGATTTCTTTATTATTATCATTATTATTATTTTAAATAAAAGTATAAAATTAATATCTCACTAATAACTATAATTTTTTCAAATATATTTTATTTACCACCAATAATACTATTACACCAATTAGTTTATGTCATTCTAAAATTAAGTGTTGTTTCTTATTTTCTTTTGCGTTATTTCCAACTTACATATTTTATGGAAATACTGTGTCTAGTGAAATTTAAAATATTATCAAGTGTTTTATCGTGTTGATGAATTTTATTAGATATTATATGATGTGCTTCATCCAATTTGAGTGTTAGAAATGAGTGTAATTGTATGAAAAATTAATTGAAAAAAATATTTTTTTTTCATTTAAAACACAACCCGCGAACCCAACCCAACCCATAAATGAACAGATCAGTTCGAGTCAGTTTTGACAATTAAATTGGTGGTTGGACGATGAACCCAACCCATTAAGATTTAAATGAGTTGGGTGACGGATTAGGCTGAATCCAATTCAACCCAACCTATGTACACCCCTAATATTAGTGGTTATTAATGGTTATGTTAGGAATAATAATAATTATTTAATCGTATTAATATTGTTAATAAAAATACAAATTAAACGAAAATTCATGAAAATGTATAATAAAATGTAAAAAAAACAACTTAACAAATAAAGTTTGACAATTTAAAACATATGATTGTAGTCCTGCATTCAAAGATACAACAAATATGAAGAAGTTCATAATAAATAAGAGATTCATTAATGCAACCTATGTGTTACTAAGGTACCACGTAAAAATGTAAAAATATTTTTAAGATTTAGATATGCATCTCGAACGCATCATAAGTCAATAGAATTATGACTTAATGTGAAAAAACTACAGAGGTGTGTTTCAATAAATATTTCGAATATGCATCTCTGGATTCATGTTTATAAAATATGTTGGTGTGACTCAATGAGATGCACGGGATGTGTTTTGAAATATTTCGGAGGTGTATCTTCGAATCAGTTGTAACATTTTGACTCAAGACAATTGTGCATTTGAAGATGCATCTTTGTCATCCGAATGACATTTTGGGATTTTCATAGGGTGTTTTTCCACCCTATAAAGTGGAATAAAAGATCTCCATAAATAAGTGTGCAGGCTTTAGAAGCATACAATGGTTTCCAGACCACATAGTCATTATAAGGCTTTAACACCCTTATTTAAGGAGTGGGTTTTAAAGAACTATGAGCAAGATCAAAATTAAATGTAATCTTAAATTTCAAATTATAAACAAGTATGTTTATTGTTATGAATTTGAGTGGAGTTTATATGAACAAATTTAAAATGACCACGAGTAATACCTCATTATCTACAATAGTTAGTTATGTAATGTAGTTGCTAAAAAGATTCTGATGCGTAGCAATCTTTAGCTAGTAAGACTTGCCAGAAATTTTAGTATTTTTTTGGGGGTTAGAGAAAGCTCACGAAAGTGAGAAGATCTATTTTTTAGAGTTTTTTTTGTGAATATGAAATGGTTCCTTTTTAACCCTCTAGTCAAAGTATTTATAGAGGCTTATGGGTCTCGATTTAGGGTTTCTTGAAAATAAAAATCACTCACCCTAATAATGGTAGTGGACTGTTGAATCCATATTTCCTAAGGAGAAATGAGTTTATTCCTCTAACTCCTACTCTGAATCATTTCTGACCAAGACACG